AACTTCGTGTCACGTCAACCATGATCAAATTCAGTGGCAGGAGGAGAGGAGGAGGAAAAGGGGAAGAGGAGGAGGAGCGGCATACCCTCCCCTCCTCCTCCACCTCAAAAGCCGCGCTCTCGTTTCGCATTACGGAAATTTGTAAACATCTTTTACTTTTTTTTATAAATTTAATGTTTTTTGTGCCTCAATTATTTGTCAATCTTTTTTCCTTCGTTTAAAATTTGTCTTTTGGATATGACTTGGCAATGTGTGTGTGTGTGTCTGTGTGAGGGTGTGTGTGTGTGTGTGTGTGTGTGCGTGTGCGTGTGCGTGTGCGCGTTTGCTTGCGTTGTGCGCGTGGTACGCGCGTGTGTTTGTGTGTTTTTGTGTGTGTGCGTGTATGTGTGTGTGTGTGTGTCCGTGTCCGATGACTGTACAACTAATCCTTCGTGTCCTACGTTTCTTAAAAATGCAAAACACTTTCAATTATATTTTTAGCATGCTGAAGGCTTGTCTGTTGTTTTCGAGACATGTCATTTGGGCGTGAATATGTCAGAGGTGTTTTTATTGTTTGTTTGTATCTATTTCTTTTACAACGATATGACTGAGACCTCTACCCCCGTAATTTACACTTTGTGTAAATTACGGGGGTAGAGGTCTGAGTCAGGCTGAAATTTCATTTGGTGTCTATCTTCCGACCTGGCTTCGCCCGTAAAAATCGTAAATAAAATTCAACTCCATTTGAATTTAATTGAATTAGAAAGTTAGATCACAACGTTTTTGCCGCTCGTCTAGTACCGGTGCCTCAGGTAAGACTTTCAAAATCGCTAAAATAGGGTAATTGAGAAAAAACACCACTTTCCGAGAACAAACTGGTCACCCACTGCGGATATCAGGGATTGCAAAAGAACATACGAACTAACTAAATATTCAACTAATATTTACTAATCAACTACAGGCAACTACATCGATTCCCTGATCGCCGCAACACTACAGGAAGAGTTGGAGTGCCGTCCAACGGGGCAAACACGTCTTCAGGGCCGGTTTGCTCATCTTGCGGCTGCGGCCGCGGCCGCGGCCAAGAGGGATTTTTACGTCACGTGACCAGTTCCATGGGGACAAGGAAGTACCTAGCGCCCCTGCCTAATGGCGGAGAGATCCGCATCGCTTCAAGCACAAAAGTCTAATGTCGCTCGCAGAAACTGATTGCAGGGACTTTCACCTGGAGTCTAATTGACCGCCCCTTGATACTGTAGGAGCGGCAGGTAAAGTTACGGCCAGGGAGAGCAAATAGGAGCCGAAATAAAAAAAAAACAACCAAACGAGATAAACGCGGTAGCAGTACATTTATATACCTCCGCTGGCGCCGGCGCCTCACGCTGTCTGCTATCGGCGAGAGGTTAAAGCGCCGGTACTTGTTGTCGCGGCGTGAAATTTCTGGGTTCAAATCGCGCTATTGACTTCTTTTTTTCTTTTTTGGTATTTTGCGCGTGTCTTACTTTTTAACTGTGATCCTTTTAAGGAAATCATTCACTTGCACTACTGCGCTTACACGGTTTTTAGGGGGCTGGGTGTCGATTAAAACTTTTAACCCGATTAGTCGCCACCCTTTAATCGATTTATTAATCGATTAATCGGTGTTGGTAATTTTCAAGCATAATGTTTTGAAAACAGTCAGAAATAATTTTTTTTGTGTGTTTGTGTTTTCTTTTGCTTTTGCTGAACATGTGGTCAAGAGCGCCATGCATATACAATTTTAATAATGAATCAACCTCAATGTGCGGTTCAAAACATGTTCAAAGGCACTCGCACTGCCAGATTATTACTTCAGCTTCATGAGGGAAAGAGGTTCGTTGATATGCTCCGCCAACAGCGACCTGCTCTCAATGTTCACAATAGTCTCTGCCGCGCTAAACGGAGACTTAAACGCCGTTGGAGTGGCCGGGACACATGCGACCTTCTGCGCTAGTCAGTAGTTACAAATATTTCCACTACATTTTACTTTAGGCTAAAATTTGACTTAAAGTTTGCCCTTCATGCGGGCGCATTTGTCCACTTCTGCATGGCGAAGTCGTGTGATATTACTTTTTTTTTATTGTCAAGATTTTACCGATTAACCGGTGAAAAAATTAATCAAGATTAAAGCATTAATCGATTAATCGGTAGGTTAATCGATCAATTGCCCAGCCCTAGTTTTTACTGTTAGTCCCACCTGTTCAATCGAAACACCGGGGAAAAAAAAAGAACAACGCAAGTTAACGCGCTAATACAATCATTTCATAATGTTCATTAAAAGAAAACCAAGGTAACAGCATCGGTATGGCTTTCACACAAACGGAGCCGAAACAAGCATCCTTTCCCCAGCAACTACAATTTTATCTGTTTTTAAATAACGCTCTTGCTACGATTCCTTTCAATAGCAAGAGACGCCTATTTAGGACTAATAAAAACTGCAGTTGTGACAATTAAGAAAAACTCCATAAAACAAGCAAAAAGCAAAAAAAGACTAGCAGCTGTGGATACATTGATTGAGCGAAATCCTACAGCCAAGGCAGCAAGTCAAACGTCAGAGAAAGTAGTAAAACCGAAATAAAAAAGATCATACTTTTACTTGCATGGAATGTGATAAAAAGTATATTTATACTCTTTACATTTTGTTGTGGCAATCGCTTTGTAATGTTAACACATTACTTGTTGAATTTTAGTTAGATTAGCAGACGATCACGACCGAATGCAAAATGAATCAGGCGTCGAGATCGCAAACCCTCTGTCTAATTCAAACACCTAAAATTACTTTGTATCAAGAAATGGAATTAATAATAATTAATTCCATATGTTGATCCAAAGTCATTTTAATCAATCAATCAATCAATCAATCAATCAATCAATCATTTTATTTTTTCAAGTCAAATACAAATTCGACTTGAACGGTCCGCTGGCACAAAAGGCAAACAGGTTTGCATTAGAGAGGGTGACCTAAAATGACTTTAGATCATAATTGGAATTAATTATAATTAATTCCATTTGTTGTTCCAAAGTCGTTTTATGTGTTTGCATTAGAGAGAGCGTAAGCGATGTTGACGCCTAATTCATTATAGCATTCGGTCGGGATCGTCTGCTATTCTAACTAAAATTCAACGAGTAATGTGTTAATATTACAAAACGATTGCCACAACAAAATATAAAGAGTGAAAATATACCTTTTCTCACATTCCATGCAAGTAAAAGTATGATCTCTTTTATTTCGGTTTTACTACTTTCTCAGACGTTTGACTTGCTGCCTTGCCTGTAGGATTTCGCTCAATCAATGTATCCACAGTTGCTAGTCTTTTTTTTGGCTTGTTTTTTGGAGTTTTTTTGTTTTTTTTTAATTGTCACAACTGCAGGCTTTATTAGTCCTAAATAGGCGTCTCTTGTTATTGAAAGGAATCGCAGGAAGAGCGTTATTTAAGAACAGATAAAATTGTAGTTGCTGGGAAAAGGATGCTTGTTTCGGTTCCGTTTGTGTGAAAGCCATACCAATGCTGTTCCCTTGGTTTCCTTTTAATGAACATTATGAAATAATTGCATTAGCGCGTTAACTTTCGTTGATCTTTTTTTTTTTTTTTCCCGGTGATTCGATTGAACAGGTGGGACTAACAGTAAAAACCGTGTAAGGCGCAGTAGTGCAAGTGGGTGATTTTCTAAAAAGGATCACGATTAAAAAATAAGACACGCGCAAAATACAAAAAAAAAGAAAAAGAAAAGAAGTCCCTAGCGCGATTTTAATCCGGAACTTTCACGCCGCGACGACAAGTACCGGCGCTTTAACCTCTCGACCATAGCACAAACCGCGAGGCGTCTGTGCCGGCGGAGGTATATAAATACACTGCTACCGCTTTTATCTCGTGTGTTTTTTTCTTTATTTTGGCTCCAATTTACCGTCCCTGGCCGTAACTTTACCTGCCGCTCCTACAGTATAAAGGGGCGGTCAATTGGACTCCAGTTGAAAGTCCCTGCAATCAGTTTCTGCGAGCGACATTAGGCTTTTATGCTTGAAGCGATGCGGATCTCTCCGCCATTAGGCAGGGACGCTAGGTACATCCTTGTCCCCATGGAGCTGCTCACTTGACGTAAAAATCCCTCTTGGCCGCGGCCGTGGCCGCAGCCGCAAGATGAGCAAACCGGCCCAGAGGCGGGTGCTCGGATGATGGGTGCACACGACGCATAGACGTGGCATGGCGCCATGTTCACCAGGAGCGAATGTGTTTTGCGTTCTAAATGTTAGTCTTTTACCTTGTGCGGTAATCGAGTTCGCTCGTATAATCTGCTGCCAAGGGTGTCCTTCCTTATTGCCCTGTGAAGCCGCCTTAAGCACGCCATCTATGAAACAGAAACATTTTATGAATGTAAACAGCCTATATTTTAAATAAAACCCTGGCCAGACAGCCGCAAAAAAAAAAAAAAAAAAAAAAAAAAAACGCGGGCGTGGCGGAAGTTGGCAATGCGCGCGGCTGCCTTTCATGGGAACGGGGATTGAATCTCGTTCGACCTGTTCATTCTTTTGTAATATTGTACTCTTGTAAAAGAGTTGAGCTCAAAATCGGCTTTCTTCGTGTTCTCTAGTACAAAAAATACCTAAACTGACCGCGTGCATAATAGCATCGGGAAAGGGCTGCTCTAGGCAGTCGCCCTTCCATCACCGACGCAAGATGCGTGATTCTCTTTGTAGTTTGAAGGCACAAGTCTGCCTCATTAAACCTTAATTTTCAGTTTTACCTTTGTTTACAAATAGTTTGAAATATCCTACAGTGCAAAACAAAATAAGCCAGAAATAAATTATTAATATGCACGTGGAATTACTAGAAGTAGTTACAGCCATAATATATATATTTTTTTTAGCAGAATTTAAGTAACAATAGCGCAGACTTAGTGTGAGATTGAAAAAAATATTATTTGTTGATATTGAAGCGTACATTGTTTTACTAATCATAAATTATTCTATTTCAAATTGACGTACAATAATTATCCCTCGTTAATTTGGCATTTCAAGTCCGGTTTTGCAAACCATTTTATTTCAGCAAGCACAGATGTATTCTACAAGCGTCCCTAGGAGTGACAAGGTGTGAATGCAAAAGAAGTAGAGCGGCAGATGACCGACCGCGTTTCTTTAACCTGACGGGTAGGGAGCGTGTGTTCCGTTAAACACCATTATTGTTTTTTAAGTTAAAGTAATGCCGTTCTAAGGGCTATTGAAAACTATCAAAAAACTGTCCAATAAAACCTCCCACACGAGGCAGTTTCGTTAACTTATTGAGGAACCCGACATCGCCGCGTGATTCGGCTGTTTTGGTTTGATCTTGAAGGGCTGCTCCCGTGACGGCCGCCACCAAGGCTGCAAAAGACGAAAATGTCCACAACGGATTTAGAAGAGGCTTCAATATTAGAATGAAATATCGTTGTTGATGTCTGAAAACAAATATTCGATACTTCCTGCGGAACTAGAAAAAAATCCATTAGACGTCCCTGTTCAGTAAGCGTGAGGTCGACTGCCTTTATGATTTGGCGGCAGCGATTACAGTGGTTCAAATTAACATATACGAAAACTCCTTTTTCGAAACACAATTATTAATTTAAAAAAAATTACACTCCACAGCTTTTCAAAATAATAACACCTTCCTGCAGTGTATTTGAGTCTCATAAAGTACGTTTGGAACTTGTTATATTTAATTTTCAGGTGTGTTACGTTCCTAAACTTTTTTTCAGCGATCTGCTGTGCACGTGTGATCCGGTTTTCGAGTCTGTAGTTAATTTTTGCTCAACTCGAGAATTATTTTCTTATGTCTGAAGTTTATACGCTTCTGCGGTCAGTGATTGTTTTTGTTTGTATTTTCTTTGTGCGCGTGAGTGTGTTTTGTTTGCTGCCTGTGCCGCGTAATATACTGTTTCCTTTTTGCAGGTTTATTAAAAATGTTTGTTTAATTTATTAGGTACCTTTTTTTTGCATGAAATTTAACAATAGAGCACCACACCGCGTAACGTGGCCTGTGAAGCCTCGAGGGTTCACGGCAATATTGTTGGGGATCCCTCCACGGGAAACAGGCAACTGCGGTAAGGCAGTAAATAGGGTAGTCGGTCAGAATATTCCTACAGTAGTATGATTCTCAGGAAACACAGGGCGCCCTTATGAGTGTGTGAGAATCGTATACCGGCATGCATTCCTGTATTACCACTCCGTGATGCACGTTAAAGATCACGGGCTTGCGGTGGTACTGCACTGCCTAAATTGCTCATCTACAGCTTAGACACCAGACGGGCACTGGGGATGACTAACTTCCTTTTGTCCAAAGAACAAACTTATCACTTTTAGGAGTGTATGTTTACTACAGCTGTTTCATGGAGAAGCCGCTCAGATGGATGTTTCGTTTCCGTTTTCCACTGCGAGACCGTTTTGTCATAGGCTCGTCCGCACGAGGTTTAAGGATGTTAAAATCATATATGTTGATATACATTGGTGACTTTGTTTTTCTCAAATTTATGGCAGTCAGTTTCTTGGATGCAGGCAACACATTGTTGTCATGTCAGCGTACTTCAAGGAGGTCCGCGAATGGCCCCTAACGTAGTGATTAGGAGTGTCCGTGGCGAAGCAAAAGTTTGAGAAGCGCTGGTTTAGGGCATTCTGGTTTTGATATTAGTTTTTTTGGCATGAAGTGTCGTTGTACATCTTAGGAAAAGCTGCGTGCCGCTCCTGGCACTTTCTTAAGAACTACTCGTTAAGCATACATCCTGAATTCCGTTTGTACCACGGTTAGAGGCACGTACCTATTAAATACATTGAGTCGAAAAACCCACAACACGAAACTTGGGCCTCAAAGTGTTCCGTCAGAAACTCACCCCATGAATGCCTTCTGCCCCAGAAGCATCCAGTTACTAACGTGTGTAATTTATATTCGATCAATATTTCTTTATTCTAGTGGAAATCCAGGACTGTTCATAAAGCTGTCATGAGGTTTTATAAAGGAGTCATCTAGCACTGGCTCCAAAAGCTCCGAAGACCAGGAGAACAAAGTGTCGTGTCCAAACGCTGTTGAAGGATGGGAGCTTAAGCACACGAACAAAGTGTCGTGTGCGTTAGCGCTCATCACCTAGATGACGAACCCCGCGCCAACCTTACAAGATGAACTCAGTCACGGACACTGTTCCATAGACACTGTCCCATAGACACTGTTCCTACACGCAGCATCCACCTTCTGCACCAAATGTTCGCCTCCCATCGTACGAAGAGCCAAGGTTTGGGAGACGGCTCTTTTTGGTAACTCCGTAGAAAGAGCGGCTGGATTGCGCTTCACCGTAGCGTCCCCAAGTATTACAGCTTTAAAGTACAGCCTCTAGATGGCGCTTCTAACGGCGGGTGGCGCCCTTGGGAGGAGGATGGAGGACCTTCTCAACGCGGGAGTTCCACCACTGAGTTGATCTAGTAACGTTGGCCTGCACCTCCTTTCTGACGTCATCACTTGTAGGTTATCGCGGCGCCACCTACCTCGCGTCCGCGTCGCCCCGTCCACGTCATGCTGCATCTAATACGAGCACGACGCAAGAGTGCGGCGACGCCAACTTGCACGTCTAGGCTGCTTCGTGACGTGCTCTCGTCGAACTGCAGTGCGCGTGCCACCAGTGGCGGGTTGAGGACCACTAAAAATGGCGCAAGGTTCAGGCCTTGTCTTCCATAGCTGATATTGGATAGTGCACCTGTGCTCAGAGCAGGAACTCTGGGCTGGATAATCGACTATTGCCGCCTCTGCCCGCACGAGCATTGGGTCGGAGTGCGTGCGTGTAATAGACCGTTTTCAGAAGACTATCGAGCAAAATTGGCGGTCGGCTTTTTCGGGGGCAAGAAGCGTGTGATAGGATTATAGTCCTCGCCGAATGCTGACGAGCCCTAGTGTCCCATATATAATCAGAGTACGTGTCCATACAACTGAACTAAAAACAAATTTGCTCACATGTAAGGCATGGCCATTCCTTGCTTGCGATGCAGAAAGGAGTAGAGGCATTATAAAGGCTCGTTCGCACACTTACGACGGCTTACCACAGTATGCCTTAAAGGGGCGGTGCAATGATTTTAACACTGAACGAATGTGCAGCTTGTATTTTTTATATTGTTTACTTCGGCATAAGTAAGAGAAAAAGTGCCACCATACCCCGAAATACCCCTATTTCGCTGCGTAATTGCAAAATAAAAAACGTTTTTTTTCCCAACCTGCGGCCACATGGTGGCCGCAAATGGAACCTGTGGTGTGACGTCATTCGGAGTGGTTTTTGTAAGTGACAGTGTTAGGCAATTGTAAGCTTGATTTAAGGTTAGGTTTATAAAATCTTGTTGTTTAGGCATGCAGAAACTCTTCAAAAGCCTAATATTGTCACTAAAAGATTTGCGGCGCCATCTACCGCAAGTCAACCAAACCTGCCGTCGCAGTCATCCGTCGACGCCCGAGGCGCCTTCGGCGGCTACACGAGCAACCCGGACGTTTTGTCTTTTTCTCGCTCGACGGAGTGCGTTGGTCGTGGTCCGTAGTATCGCGGTATCGTACGCTACACCTTTGCGTACGCAAGGAAATTGCGGGTCGTGAGTGTGCATGCACAGAACGCCATAGAAGGGCTAGCGTATTGCGTACGCGCGCAATGCTGGGGATTTTGCGTTGCTGGCTAGGGGGCCTTGCGGAACGCTCTCGAGAGATCTCGGACCCAACGAGAGCGCCAGTTTCAAGATGGCGGTTGCCTCGACTGGCGCGGCAAGGGCGACGTGGTGTTTTCGAAGTTCTGCGTTACGTGAAATTGCGTGGTGTTCAGCTCGGCGATTCTTTCTGGGACCTACCGCGGTCGAATCAGATCGCCGTGCAGCTGAAGGAGTGCACAGTGAAAATGTTCGCCGCTCGGAATGTGCGTCGACGCTGCGATCTGCTCAACGCTAAGCCTAATCCCACAGTTCATCGCCGACGGACGAACGACTCTAAAAGAAATCGCCGAAGTTCTCGCTATGCACTGGACATCAGGGTCATGAATTTCATTCCGCGATAGCATTGATAAAAGGCGCCGTTTCCACGGGACGAGTGACGGGGGCTCCGTAATCGGATTTGGCTACGCACTCGCACTCGTAGCCTCTCTCGCCCGCAGAAAAGCGCGCTTGACGAGGCAGCTGTGGCTTGGTTTAATTTGAAATAAAATGATTGGACACTTTTTCTCTTTCAATATTTCTTTCCAGGAGCATGGTTGCGCTATAAGCACGCGGAATTCTACGGCTCCAGCAAATTTAACCAAGATAATGCGCGGTGTTCACTCGAAAACGTTACGCACAACTAAATTCGGTCCGAGCAGGTCATTTTTAGCGTACGTTATACTGTTGCGTATTGCGTACGTAAGGTCCAGCAATAATATACTAAAACTGTCTATTGTTCCTGGTGTCTCGACTTCGACCGCCCGCCGCGTCGACTGCCCGCCGCAGTCCAACTGACTTACTATACGCAAGCATCTTGCGCTCAACGTCGCTCATGCCGTCCACCCATGCCGCCGTGTTGGTCGGGAATCGACAGGAGAGCCGGGAGAGCGGCGAGCCGGCGAGCGCTGGGGAAACGGAAGCCAGAAGCACCCAACCGGAAACCAATGCCACTCCGAATGACGTCACAGGCGAAGCTGGTGCCGCTTCAATGTTGAGTTGAGGGGTGCCAGAGATACCAATTTCTTTTTATTTTTTTTTAAATGAAAACTAGGGCAAGCAGGAAAGAATAGTTTTCGGTCCTTCGTTTTATATGTGGCCGGGATCGATTCCCGCAATTAATTAGTTAAAGTCCGCAAATTATTGCACCGCCCCTTTAAATACTCTTAAAATATCTTAGGAGCAGAGGATGTACTTGCGCCATGATAGCTACGAAACACTTGGAATTTCTGCTAATGTCCTGGCTCGATAAATGTTTAACAATATTATGAAAGATCATTTCTCATATATAGAATGTATATCTGATCTCGCCAATATCACAAAACTTTCCCTCCAGTGAATTGCAGTTCTAAGGTCAACCCATAGATGGCGCCAACATGCCAGTGTCTCTCTCTCGTCATAGGGGATTACAAGATGTTGGTCGTGAGCAAACTCAAGTGCGTGGACGGGCCTTAAGGGTAATCAAGATAAGAACGGAACACTTCACAGGTAGAAGATACCGTACCAATCAGGGCCAGAATCTGCAGCGCACGAACCACGATGGCCTTCATATTTGTGGGAGCCTGTAATCACAAGGTCAAGTAGCCGATTAACGACATGTTTTTTTCTAATTCAGGTTAAATCACGACTTGTGGCTCATTCTGCTACTATGACATCGGTCATCTCACAGACGTAAAGTGCCACCGAACGCTTGCTTTGTATTTTCAAGTGATCTTGTCACACATAAGTGTCGGTAACTGTTACGCAGGTATCTAAGGAGATATTAAAAATTGCGTATAATTATTTTCCCAATAGCGTCAAGATTACTCTATTAACGCTTACTTCCGTTTTTTTCTTTCTTCAAGAACGGCTCTATTGCATATAAATATTACGTTACGTCTCAAACGTGATTTTTATCGTTTTCTTGTTTGACCAATATTTTTTACTCTTACTTCTTTCTTAAATTATTTTATTAATAATTCATCTTAAATCACCTCAAGCCCAGCTCTAGAGCCCTGAAATGGTGGGTTAAGGGAAAGTCGCTGCACTGATTTTGTGAAATTGTGAAATATTAAAAATAAGGGCAATGTTCATTTCATATTAATTAGATTTTACACACACTCTATCAAGAAAAAATTTCCGGTCAAATACTTGTCAATTTTTGAATATCTATAAAGTAATATATCATATCTTGTTCCTTGACTCTTTATAGCTCTGAGAAATATTCCGTTTTATAACGCTACCAGCAATACGTAGTACATCGAGGGCAGAGGAATTTGAAACGTGGCAATATCAAGACCAGATTAAAGTTATTTATGTGCAACGTAATTATGATGTGTAGATCATACAAAAAATATATGCTTAACTCCCCAAATATTGAGCAATGCCTGTTCATTTAAGTATTAACCAATCTTTTCACGAGTCGCGAAAATTTGAAAAGTTAGGCACTCACTAAAATTACACTGTTTACAGTATTCAACACAAACGGCAGTATGACGACAAGAAGATATAGAACAAAGACATAAAAGCTTTGATTGTTGTTCGAAAGCTTGAAGATAATTTGAAATTGGTGGGGCACTGCCAGAAGTGTTAGTGAAAATGTCCGTTGTTCAGTCTGAAATGAACACTGATCCAAACATCAATATTTATTTCCAGCTATAAACCTTAAAAAAAGAAAAAAGAAAATGTATGTTTCTTTAAAGAGAGTTCACAGATTATTCACAAAACATCCGCATCCAATAAACATTTGCTTCATACAAATTGTTTTTCGCCGTTCGCCAGATTTTGTAAAAGAAAAACCAAGGAATAACATATAATGTAAAACCAGATAAACAAAGTCACTCAAACTCTCACTCACCTTTGCTTTTTCTCGGACAAGAGATGTGGAAGATAGGTTTGTGAAGCGAACTTGAAGTATCTCTTGAGAAGTCGTTTAAATTGACGGCTTTAGGCGAAATATCGGCCAAACTTATACTCCCTAGTTCTCACTTGCGCCCTCTATAGTTAACCAAAGGAAATCAGTAATTATTTCCTGGTACGTACTGGTTTGGAAATATCCTACTTAAGCTCATAATAATTAGATTCAGCGTTGTGGCATTTAGAGCACAGATGTCATGAACCAGTAAAACCACAAGAACACCAATCCAAGGCGCTATGACTAAACCTGGCGCAGCTGTATGCATTTCCCAACTCTACGCAGAGGGAAAAATAACACAGGCGAAAGGCTGTCGCTATCACAAAACGATCTTTCGTTTCGCAACTTCCTTAAATGTAGTGTAAAATCAAACTCCGCCATTTACTGTATCACACACATTCCATGTTAATCCAGCATGTTCGAACAAGACGACTTGAACATGTCTTTTTAGCTTTTGAAAGTAGACATAGCTTGCAATGAACGACTAATAGTCCTTTTTGCAAATGCAGATGCGATGTTTCTGAGCGTAGTTCTCAGGCGCCCGTTTCCGGGTTGAGCGGCGTCGGCGTCGGCGTCGGCGTAACTGCGCGCGTTGCATTATGGAACATTTAGCTGTTAGAGTTAGCGGGGAAATTGACGCCACATGGACCTCAACATCAATTCAGCTTCCCGCTAAATTTAGGGGGGAAATTGACGTCAGAACTTCATGTCACGTCACCCATGATCAAATTCAGTTGCAGGAGGAGAGAAGGAGGAGCGGCATATCCTCCCCTCCTCCTCCTCCTCCTCCTTAAGAGCTGCGCTTTCGTTTCGCATTACACAGATTTGTAAACGTCTTTTTTTTAATATAATGTTTTTGTGCCTCAAGTATTTGTCAATCTTTTTTACCTTCATTTAAAATCTGTCTTTTAGATTTGACTTAGCACTGTGTGTGCGTGTGTGCGTGCGTGCGTATGTGTGTGTGTGCGTGTGTGTGTGTGTGTCCGATGACTGTCCAACTAATCCTTCGTGTCCTATGTTTCTTAAAAATGCAAAACAGTTTCAATTGTATTTTCAGCATGCTTAAGGCTTTTGTGTTGTTTTCGAGACATGTTATTTTCGTGTGAATATTGCCGCCCGCAGAGCCGAGAAAGCAACGCTTGGTCACGGTCTTTTAGAAGATTCCCGTTCATTCTCGCACCAGACGTAACTTTCCTTCTGCTTTGTTATTCTCGAAAGTGCCAGTTCATCCTCGCCCCGATCGCGCGACGCTCGAGCCTTCTTTACCGAACTTTCAAGATAGTGACGCATGGTAGATAAGCAGCTACCCGCGACCTTCTCGAGTCAGTCTCGCTCGCGCTCTCTGTTTCGCCGCCGAATCGCCGCCTGCTTTTCTGCTGCCTCGACGCTCTTTCGTTACTTATTTTTGGGGGGGATCGGCGGCCGGATTTCTTCTTCCAGCTTTCGAGCAGTACGGTCGCAAGAATCATGAGCTCCGTCGGAGCGGCTACAGCGTTCCTCGATGACCGTGGAACTTCTGTGTTTGGTGCTTCATCGTCATCTACTGAAGAGTACAAGGTAGTTTTGGCCTTATATGCCATCCGGGGAAACCTTTAGGAACTCTGTCATTTTTCACTGCTACCTGAAGGGACGGCCCTACCGCATCGAGGATTTCCGCCAGGAACTGAAGCGGACTGCCGCCTTGCCTGACATCGTCTCGCTGGGCGCGTTCCAGATGAATAATGCGTGGTTGGCGACACTGCGCACACCGGAAGAAAAAGAGCGGCTCCTGAACTACAAGGAGATCAAGGTGAAAGGCCTTCGTTGCCTCGTCATTGATCCTGGTTCCACCGAGATCCGTCTACGCATCCACTGGGTGCCATTCCACGTAGCGGACGACGCGGTTCGGAAGCTTTTCGAGCCGTACGGGAAAGTGAGTGAAGTTGGACGCGAGAAGTGGCGCGTCAGCGGTTTTGAAGGCATTGAATCTACCTCCCGATTCGTACGCATGACCTTGAAGAAAAACACCACGCCCGACGGGATGCCCCATCAACTTCACTGCGTGTAGTGAAGATATTTGATCACTATGTTTTCAGACTTAGCATAAAGTATAAACAGGAATGTCGCGAGTTAAACAGTTTTTTATTGTCATTATCATCACTTCGAAAAAAGCTGCAACATATTCCACCCGTCACTCGGATGTTTGGGCAGTAGAAACGTCACGAACAGATTATGGCCTCCAAGTGATTAAAATAACTTTGCCAACATTACTGAACACTCCTATCGGCTCTAATTTTGATGTCGAATCTTCCAATATATGTGCGCTTAAGGATTATATTCTTTCTAATTAAACAATCCTTACTGCTGTTGATTAGATAGCAGATTATTGCTTTTTGTTTTTGTTTTGTTAATGTTTTGCTGTTAAGTATTTTGTGTTATATAAATTCTTGTGTATGACTTCCCAAATGCTGTGTACCTGTGGGGGGCTGAGGACCAGTCAAGCTGCTTGCACAGCTTTTTTCCCCAGCTCCCACCATATTTGTACGGTAAATAAAGTCATTATTATTAACTTTGTCTTCAAGGTGCGAATACCCTCATTGTCATCCCGGGAAGAGCGCCGGTCTGCTTGCGGTGCAAGCGCTCCGGGCACATTAGGCGCGACTGTCGCGTGCCCAAGCGCTCGGAGTGCTCCCGTTTCGGGCACGAGAAAGAAGAATGCGTACGTACGTACGCTGGTGTCACCGGCGGAGCTGTGACGGACGAGCCGTCCCAATTCATCATGAAGGCGGAGGACGCCGAACTTGCGGTGGGTGCTCTCAAAAGTGACTCCCCACCGGGCATCGAGGAACCAAAGCAACCTCCCGGAGCTGAAGACAGCAGCGGCAAGGAGACTGCAGCAAACGCCCCGATGCCAGAAGGTACGGCGCCCTCCCTGGGGCGACGTCGCCTGAGGCCGGTGCGGCTCTGCCTTCTGCCGACCTCCTGCCGACCGAGAAGGACCACGAAGGCGTCATCGACAGCATGGATGAGAACACGGACTCCACCAAGTGTGGGCTTGACGAAACGACTACGACCGACACGACCCCGAACCCGAACGCGTGGTGGGCAGCGAGCAAGCGAGGCAAGTACAAGCAAGTACCGGGTGCCCCCTCGGAGGAGAGGCTACGCCACGAAAACCAGTAAGGCGGCAACGCCTGGTCTATGAACTCATGCGCGATTTTCAAGGCAAGTGTACCACCATAGCCCTTCATGAATTGTACACTTGACCCGGGTATCACGGTTGCATCGTTAAATGTTCGAGGTTTCAACATGCGTAAGAAACAATACCAAATACAACGTTCGTTGGAAAGTCAGAAACCCGATTTCTTGGCGATGCAGGAAACCAAGATGGCCGAGGAAGAGCAGGTGGCGAACGCACTAAAGCCTTTTTTATCTTCGTATGAAGTGTGTGTCACACACGGTGTTGGTGTTTCGTGTGGTTGTTTCTTGTTTGTGAAGGAGAACGTTTCCCTTGTCTGAGCTAAGCGTGACCGTCGACACCGAAGGTCGTTTAATTAGGTGCGATTTTTTGTTCGTATCAGTTCACTGGCGGCTTATCTGTGTATACGCCCCCAGTACGGTGAAAGACCGGGTTTCCTTTTTTTCTGGCTTGCGCCGTTTTGTTGATTGTGACAGAACAGTCGTGTTGTG